GGGCATTTTTGGGAGGTCTGCAGAGTGCAAAAACTTTTTTTTTAATTTGCCTCTTCAAAATCTTGGTGCGTCTAATACTCCGAAAAATATGGTATATAATCTATGAGTTATTAGTTATCTAGTCTAATTCCCTATCCAAGGGGTAGCCAGTCTCCAGTGAGACAGTAATCCAAAATTAAAGATATTTCAAAAAAGCAAGATGTGCTTTGTACCAAGGACTTTAATTATCCAGACACTTGTTGGAGACAAATTCTGCCTGCCACATAATCAGAGACTCATCTTGCTGGTAATTTTCTCACTCAGAATATGGAGGAAGCTACAAGAGGATTCTTGATCATTGCCTCGATACAGATTTCTTTGGCTTTTCAGATATTAACCAATAAGATATGTTTCACTGGGCAAGTGAAAATAGCACAGAATATTAGGAAACACTGTTTAATGCTGGGTTTCTTGATTTTAAGAGGAACTAATCATGAGTGTAGTTGAACATGTATTTTTAATCAATGATAATTAGAATTCCATGGTGGAGGGGGGAAACCAAAGAAGCCAATATGGCTGAGAAAAACAAAGAAAATTTGAATACAGAAAAGGAATTGCATTACATGTGCACATACATACCCATCACACTATTCTCTTTTGGGGTAATCAAAGTTATGCAGAATGCAATAAAGAAATTAGAAATAGTAAACCAAATAAATTAAGGGGACAAGATAAGAAAAAGGAATATAGATAATAAATAAAATAGTAAAAACCTGATATAAACTAAGTTACACATACACACCCCTTAGACTTACACATGCCACATGCAGCATTCGCTGCCAATGGTAAAGAAAGTGCTGCACAATTTTGGCACATTTTCATCAATACATCATAAGTACAATCAAATCCTTGTTTTATCCCGTTACAGTTTTATCCTCAAAACAGAAGGTACATATTCTGACTCATACTCAGGATTTATTTTTATTTATTTATTCATCATATTCAGTTTGGAAAGTATTACTCTAATGGCATTGCCTGATTGCATTTTTTCTCCATGGGTAGTTCAGCAGCAAATTTCAATGGGTGAGGGGACGGGTCAATACTAGCATGTATGTATTAGGATTCCTAAATAGATTTAAGTGAAAAAGAACATTTTTGCAAAATAGGTACTCCAATGAAAAGACTATATAAAGTTCAAACAAATCCTTTTACACATTTTCTAATTAACTGAATGAATATAAACAATTGTTTGTCTTTGTTGACACAATTACTGTCTTTTATGCGGTGGCATTTGCAATGCCAATTTAAATATAAAAATAATATTTTTACTTTCCCCCTTTAATATTTAAACTTTTATTCAGCTTTATTTAATGAAGAATAATAATAATGTTAGTAAGTAGTAAACCAAGTATCTGGTATAATCCATCATCTAGTAATTCAGTCTTTGGAAGAGCCTACAGTTAACTTTTGGCTATGTTTGCACATACTACTTCAGATACTAGGCACCCCATGATGCAATGAGTTATCCTTTCAAAGATATGGTTTTACCTAAACCGAATGACCAATGAGTGGGCAAAAAGGCAGAGGGAATGGAAGCAATTTCCGATTTCCTGTTGGCTTCCCCATTGACTTTCCTTGTGGGACCCTGGCAAGGAGTGTCAAAAATCACAATCACAAATTTCAGTTACACAGTGTAAAAGAGTCCCAGATTTTGTATGCATTCTTTAAGTTTACAATTTGAGTACCTTGATTCAAAGTATTTTGTGCTATGGTGCACTGTTTCGGCTAACTGAAGGTTACAAACAGACAAGAGAGTTTTACTAGTATATAGATTGTTTCTAGTCCAACAAATTTGCAACCACTTTAATCTAAATGCTCTTTCTTTAGAAACTAAATAAAATTTAAGATCCCATTCAATGGTTTGGTAGCACTGTAAAAAAAATTTGTGCCCCTGCCCTCTCACACTTCTGTTTTAATTGATGGAGTGCCAGGTCTCTCATGCAAAGCCATTTGATAGATTTATGCATGTCAAATTTTAAAACCTCCCACAGACCTTTTTTTTTGTAATTTGCACTGCAAATTCCCTTCTCTGGATCTCCCCACTTGTTTCTGTTCTTCTGTGTTAGCAATGGAACATCTA